AGGTGAAAAAGCTACATCAAAACAATATAATATATTAAAAAAAGACATACATTTTGATTCTTGCACTTTACTCATGTTTTATTATAGGTTCCTGTATATTTTTTTGAAATTTTAAATTCCTATACTTTCATTTTTTGGTATTTTAGTTCATCAAAGGTCTATACACTTTGTTCATTTAGGGACTTAAAAGATCAAAAATGAAAGTGTAGAGATTCAAAATATCAAAAAAAATATAGAGACTTATAGCAAAATATGAGTCAAGTACAGGAATCAAAATATATTTTTTTTATTAAATTATACTATATTTCAGCTACATTAAAAAAAGTAAGACTGAATATTTTTGAAAAATTGTTTTCGGCAGTCAGAAAAATAATAGCAAATATTTAATATATTTTTCCATGTTCAATTAAACACATATCTATTCCTCTTCAAGACATGCCAACCACACTTTTTTTTTTTAAAAAAAAAAACATCCCATAATTCTATTCACATCCTCATGCTCTTAACCATAAGGTTATAAAAACAAAAGAGGAGGAAATTAAAAGGCATGTTTTATTTGTTTGTTTGTTTTGTGGATGAGACCGAACATTGCAATTTAAAATAACATATTTTGATGTATTTTTTATCAGCACGGTTAAAAATCTTGTAATGCAAAATAGCATTGACAATAATACATTAACCTAATCTATACCACACTGCTGCCATCGGAGGGTGATCACATGGGATACGATCAGCAGTGGGGGGGGGGGGGGATCGTGATTCCTCCAATTTTTTAAATTTTTTTATATTATATAAATATTATATACTTTTAACTTCCTTAAAATTTTTAAAAAATTTATAATATATATAGTTTTAATATGGATCCCCTTTATTTATAAATTCTGGTTTCGCTTCTGGATACGATTGGGTAAAATGCTAGAGCTGGAAAGAGCAAAAATTGACTGTGCATGAATTTATGGCATAGTACTCAATGTTCTGACTGAAAATCTGTCCCAAATGAATGATGTGGTCTCTAGCAAAAATAAGAGCTAGATATTTTATTTTATCCTCTTGACGTGTTTAGCCTTTTCAATATACATGGTTTAAACATTTAATTAAATGTGTGACAGCTAGCAGTGTTCAAGATATACTCGGCCCAACTGACCCCGTATCGGCCTGTGCTCGTCCTGATCACATTAGGATGGGTCTGTTCCGACCCGAAAAAATTCAAGACGGGACTTTTATGAGACAAGGCCAAAATAGGGAAGGAATGGGACGGGACACGGGCCATCCATCGGGATGTCCCGTCCTGTTTATATTCAGTATATATATATATATATATTTAAATTTAACTATTATTTATTTATTTTAATTAAATTGATTTTTAATGTTATTTTTAGCTTTTCTAAGACAGATACGTGGCAGAGAGGCCATTTTGTCATTTTGAAGTTCATTTTTCCCTTTCCACTTTCCAGATCCAAAGATCCCTCTGCCATTCCAAAGCTCAGTTCGGTTTCCATCTTTCCCTTCCATTCCAAAGCTCCAACTCCAAAGATCCCTCCGACGCAGATTAGTCGCCCAGCCACAGAGACAGAGTAGACCTTCGGTCCTTCGGTTACATCTTTCTACCCGAGTTCCGACGCACAAAGATAAGAGTTGACGCCTTTGCCTTTGCGACCTGGACCACGCCTCCGTCTCCACCTCCACGCCTCTGTCTCGAGCTGCAGTGCGAGGTATTTGTTGCCTCAACCCAGATCTCCACCTAAATCTTCGTCCCAGGCTCCCAACGTTGCCTCATATTTCCATAGCTATTATTCTCTTCCACCTAGATCTGGTGCTACCTCAAATCCATCATTCTCCTCGTTGTCCTCAGATCTAGATCGTTTCATTACTGATTTATTGTCTTATTGGGCCACCAAACCTTCACCCCCAAACACCAAATTGCCCCAAGGAGACTCTAACAAAAGAATATGTGCAATTTGGATATAGAGAGATAGTTGATGGCCTTGAGGTAGAATGATAAAATTTCTTTGGCAAATTCTATTTTGGTTGTATTAAAAAGATGATTTATAGTAGCAAATTTGACAGTGTGTGCTTTGTTTAATCATCCATTTATTGATGATCTTGTGGGGTTTTGAATTTAGTGAGAGCACTCCTGAACTGTCCGTTTATTGTATTGTACTATATTTGTTTGAATGTATTTAGTATATATTGAAAGCATAATATATTGGCATTTCTTCTAACTTTGCCTGGCATATCCTCCGATCGCACTTTCTAACTTTGCCTGGCTTGTCTCAAACTTTTCTAATTATTTTCTTACAATTTACTGCATTGCAATTATTTTATAATGTCACTACAGCCTCGTTATTTTCAAGTTTTAAGGCTCTTTTTTTAAATATATATTTCATTCTTCTATTCCCTAAGTGATGCTACTTGTAATTTTTCAACTCTAAGAATACTTTGAAATTAAATATCCTTTTCCTAAATTCTTGTTATCTAACGTGGGAACATCAGGAAGCAAGAGAAATTTCATTGACACAAGTAGCAAACTTTCATAAGACAATTGTTCTAAATTGCAAAGAGGTAAATCTGTTATCTCGGTGATATGTTTATATGCCCATTCTATTTATTCTTGTTTTTAAGAAAAATAAACATTAGTTAGGAAATGTGTTAATATAATTTAATTCCATCTTCTTTCTAGGCCATTAGAAAACGTCTGAGGGCTATCAATGAATCTTATGTTCAGAAGCAGAAGGTGATATTTTTATTCTCCTTTTGTTATGCTTGCTGAAAATAGTGCTGCAACAATATATTAATTGCTTGCTTGTTTTTGTCTGTTGTGAGATTTAATGGATTTTATCTCTCTACCAATTTGTTGAAAATTTTGATGACTTATCGTGCTTACTATGTTAGGCTGGTCAAATCTATGGCGTGGCTCTTTCAAATCTATTTGAATATTTAATATGAGGTTTTAATCAGTTAAGGGTTGTTGTTGTTGCTGCTATTGGCTAAATCTACATTGTAAAGAAAAATGGCCACTACACCCACCTTTCAAGAAAATGTTGAAACAATAGAAGGAGATCCTGAAAATGCTTTATCACCTGATACTGAAGAGGAAAATGAGGGAAATGAGTTAAAGAATAAAGGAGAAAGTGGAAGAATGAGACGTAAATCAACTGTTTGGGTGCATTTTGAAAGGTTGCTGTTGGACAAAACTAATGGAGAACCTCGTGCTAAGTGTAAGTATTGCCCAACAATAATTGGTTGTGACTTTACAAGACATGGGACAAATGGAATGAGAAAACATGTAAAAAGATATCCCAGAAATACGAACAAAGTAAACAAGTTGGCACAATCTTTGCTATCGAGCTCTCAATTAGGGTCATCTAAAACTTTGAGTCATCATCTATTTAATCAGCTCGATTGCAGACAAGCCATTGCTATATTTATGATAGTGGATGAGATTCCTTTTAATGTTGTGGAAGGTGATGGTTTTAAAGAGATGATGAGAAGGTTAGAAGCTCGCTTTCAAGTCCCTTCAAGAGTGACAGTTACTAGAGGTTGCTACAAGTTGTACCTTGAAGAAGCTAGAAAGTTGAAAAGGTATTTTAAAAAATTTCAAATTCATGTTTCACTCACTACTAATACTTGGACTTTCAATCAAAATGCCAATTATATGTGCTTAACTGCTCACTGGGTTGATGAGCATTGTACATATTAAAAGCGAATCTTGAATTTTTGTGTGTTGAAAATCATAAGGGAGAAACAATTGCTCAAGAAATTGAGAAATGCTTGTTGTTTTGGAGCATTGATAAGGTGTTTACAATCATAGTTGATAATGCTTCTTTTAATGACACTGTTTTGGCATCTTTAAAGGGGGTCTTGAGGCATTGGAATGGTTTAGTTTGTGATGGGGAGTTCTTGCACTTGCGCTGTTGTGCGCATATCTTAAATTTGATTGTTTCTGATGGTGTGAAGGATATACACAAGTGTATTGAAAGCATTTGAAATGCCATTAAATATGTGAGATCTTCTCAATCAAGGTTTCATAAATTCAAGGAGCTTGTGAAAAAAATGAAAATTGATTCAAAGAAGCTACTAAGCATGGATTGTCCAACTAGATGGAATTCAACTTACATCATGTTAGAGAGTGCAATTAAATTCTGCAGCGTTTTTGAGAGGATGGAGCAGCAAGATAATGATTATAGAAACTTCTTCTTAGATAAAAATTTGATTGGTCCCTCTAATGAAAATGATTGGAAGGATGCAAAAGATTTTATGATCTTTTTGAAGGTGTTCTATGATATTACTTTACAATTTTCAGGATCACTTTATGTGACCTCAAATGTTTGCTTTCAATAGATAGTTGATGTCTTGGCAATTTTATATGAAAGTGCAAACAATCATAATTCCTTTCTTTTTGATATGGCTAAGAGCATGTGACCAAGTATAATAAGTATTAGGGGAACTTAGAGAAACTTAATCTTTTGCTTGTGGTAGCAGTGGTACTTAACCCAAGGTATAAAATGAAATATTTGTAGTTTGCTTTTGAGGATATGTTTCCTGAGACTACACAACGTGAAGCTATGACAAAAAAAGTCTCAAATGTCTTGTATCGTTTATATGATCATTATTCAAGTGGGGTTGACACATCTTAGACTCAAAGTTAAAGCCAGAGTCAGACACAAGGAGCAAGTAAAAGTAGTTTGACTCAATCACTTGGATCAGATCGTAGGCCTTTAACTTCCTTAAGTTCTAGGTCTAGGGCTTCATTTCAAAGGTTTCTTGCCCAAATAGAGATTAAGGTTTAAGCAGATAAGTATGCAGAGGTGGACAAGTATTTGCACGATGAGTTAGCTGAAGCACTTGATCTAAATTTTGACATTTTAACATGGTGGAAATTGAATTCAGCTAAATATAAAGTCCTTTCATTGATTGCACATGATGTATTGGCCATGCCTGTTTCCACAGTGTCTTCAGAATCTACATTTAGCACAGGAGTTCGTGTAATTGATGATTTTAGGAGCTCCCTATCTCCAAAGATGGTTGAGGCACTAATTTGTGCCCAAAACTGGCTATCTCCATCAACTGCGAAACTAAAAGGCGTTGATGTTGATAATTTTAATAATATAGAGCAAGCTGTGGAAGGTAAAATCATTTTTTATATTTGATTATTTCTTTTAATATGATTTAACTTTTTGTTTATCTATATTTAATAATTTTTGTTTATATTGTGTTTATTGTTTTATTTTTAGAAGAATCATTAGCTTCAAATATCTCATTTGAAGAGGAAGAGTAATGAGTTGAAGTTGAAGTTGTGCTTGGAGCTTAAGTTGTTGATTCTTGACTTGTTGCACTTATTACTTAGAAGTTACTTGTCTTTGTTGAGCTGTATTTGCTGAATTGTTGTTGCTGTTTGTCTTTTGAATGTTGCTGCTGCCTGTTGAAATGTTCTTTGTAGACTTGATTTAATTTTATTTTTTGTTACTACTTTTTTTCCTTTAGTGGGAAATCTTGGTATTTCCAAAAGCATCCTTTTTTCTTGAATTTTTTCCTACATGACTAAGCATATTCTTGTGGGGAAGATGACGACATCACTGGTTGAGACTACATTGTATGACGAAGGTTGAGAAAAAGTGGCAGGTTTAGATTTAGTACCTTGACAGTTGACACAGTATAGCTTTGCTTACAAAGCATGCAGTCAACTTGTGTCTTCTAATTTGTTTCTTTTTCTGTCATAGCAATTTTTAAGTATTAGGGTTATGATGTGAAAGAGCTTCCTGAAGAGTACAGTGAATCACTTATAAATTGTAGGGCATGCTAAAAATAGGTTCTTTTTCAAAACCTTATTGTGTTTTTACAGTAATTTTAATTCTGCAATTAATGATAAATTAATTATAGGAATACTTCAGGTGAACAGCAAGACTGAATTTTTTATTTCAATATGATTTTGTAGGGAAGGAATTTGAAGTGATCGAGAATATGGGAAGAATTCAAGTGCTGTTCAAATGGAAGCAGTATGAGGTAATTTTTCTCTCTCCAAATCTCCCATAAAATTAGGACATTGTTGAGAAATATTTTTAAAGAAAAAGATTTGGGTGTTGAGTTGTGAAAAAAATTTAATTTATATGGTTGAGTTGTGAAAAAAAAGATCTGGATGCTTTTTCTTGTTAAGTAATAAGTTGAAAGATTGTAACAATCTCGTTGATTCGGGACGTCCCGGTCCCGTCCCGACTCCTTTTGGGACGGGACAGCTTCTAGGACGGGACAAGACACGGGACAAATTTTTAGTCTCGATTATTTTTCGGGAGGGGCCACGGGACAGGGGTGTCCCGATCCCGTCCCATCTCATGAACACTCTAGTGACAGCTACACATGTAGCTTTTTTTGCATGCTGTAGAAGCTTTTACGCACATATCCATGAATCTAAGAAGAACGATAACACCAATTTAAATTTTTTCTCTTTTGCTGAATAAAACCTTTAATCTCCGGCTAGCTTGCTGGTATTGTATATTCTTATTCATTCCATTCTTTATAGCATACTCTTACAAATTTCGATAATTGAGGAAAGAAAAGAAACAAACATCACAAAGGGACATCTTTACAAAATAGTACAAACGCTTTCGCATATATGAGCGTTTTGTAAATGCTTCTCCAATAGCAAAAAAATAAATGTTTTGAAAAGCTTTTTTTTTTCCTGTAATAATGATTAAAATAATTCAATCCACTATGCCAGTAAGCAATAATGCTCAAAAATTTTAATAATTGTAAGTCTTTAAAAATTGAGTATTTAAATAACCATAAAAATAATATATGATTCATAAGATTTTCATTGAGTTATTTGACCTAATTAAGCTTCACCATTAATCAATTTATTGAGACTGCAAAAATAGAATGGCCTTGAGAACAGGGTTTGGTTCTTTTGTCAATTTGGTGTTAAATTATATATCCTGAAATATGTGAACTTGAGATGCCCCAAAGATATGATAATATCTGCTCAAAAGTCAAAATTATCCCGTGAACGTAGATGACATCTAGAGTGTTGGCCAACAATGGTAATAAATGATTTAGAATAAAATAATTAATATTATTTGATTTTTTTTTTTTTATGTTCAATGGTAGGCGTGGTCCTTACTATGCGGGAAAAGAGGATCCAATAAAGTTTTCATCGCATTAAATCAATGATAGCAACCCCGAAACAATAATTCGCTTCCAACCTTATTATACGCACAAGTTTTATGTTAAAAAAAAAAATCCAAAACTATATTTTCATGTTATATTTTGTTTCATTAGTGTAAAATACTAATTTTTGTGTTCATTCAATTTATGTCTATTGCCTATCTTTAATAAGAAGTTACTTACAAATATTAATAAAAAAATCATTTAAGTATGTGATGTGAAGTGGCAGCACAAAAGAAGAACCAAGAAGAGAAAAAAGAAAGAAAGAAAGACTTAGATATAAATTGCATAAATTAGTTTGATGATGATCTATAAAATTGTTAATTGAATGAAGCAGTCCTCGCCAAATTATAATAAACTAATTTCAATCAATAGGGCATAAAAAATTGCGTTTGTGCGCACAACTCTGAAATCTGAAATTTGGGTTTAGAGGTAACATTGAAAAAACAATAAAAGGGAATGTTTTAAATGAAAACTAAATATGGATAAGACTTTTAAGACCGAAATAAACTTTGATAAACTTCCATCAATCATTGTTTGTTTAAATGCATGCACCTAACAAAGCAGTTGTTAGTCTATTCAAAAATCTAAAACTTTAACATTAGTCATCGATACACTGCTAATGGAATTTCATTTGTCTGTTTTTGTCTATAAAACGGCACTATTTGAAATCAGCCATAGCATTTGATCAAAATTCGATGGACTACATATATTCATTTTATTATCTTTATCTACTTATTTATTTCTCAAACATGCGTGACTCTTCTCTTAAAAAGGAAGGATGAAGTATATGATCAATATTTTTTTAGTTTCATTAAAATTACATGGACAAAATTATTAAAATTTAAAAAATTATAAGAATAAGTTTAAAATTAAACAGAATTTCTTTATTTTAAAAATTAAATTAACTGTCGTTCTGTTTGTGAAATAAATTTTATCTTTTATATAGGAAGGGATATCAAATACAACATTTTTACCAAGCGATATTATTCACGAGCCTTAAATAATGTAAAAACCATTTTTTAAGGATTCGTATGATTTACATGAAACTCACATAGTTCGGATGACAAAAGGAAAATCTTTATTATAATTTTTTGAGAAACATGTGCAAATTTTTAACATAAAAGAATTATCCGTATGACATCACAAACACTTTTGGTTCGATTCTACCCTAATGTAATAATATTGGGGTAAAGTTTATGCTCAAAGGATTCCATTCTGCTCACTTTAAATTACTTCCTTAATTTAAAAATATAAAATATTTTTTAAAAAATTAAATATTAAAAAATATAAAATATTTTTAATCTTTAAAAGTGCAATTATTATTTTTTTTTAATTTTTTTTATTAATTAATAATTTTATATTTATTATAGGGTTTCATAGGGATTAGTGGCGGAGCCACATACATGTGAGGGGGCAAATGCACCACCTCACATGAGAAAAATTACACATATAATATGAGAAATTTACAACCTTACACTCTATTTTTTAACTTTTTGAACTCTTCAAATTCAATAAAAAAATATTTGGGGTCTAAATTTAAACTCTATATCAACATTCTTAGCATATTTTTAGTAAATAAAATCTCAATATATTTTTCTCAAATAAAAATATGTATAATTTTACTTATGTTATCATATTTTTTGCCTAATGCAATTAATTTTAAAAAATTAGAATATTATTGTTTTACTTATTTATTTTTAAATTGTATTGTCTTGCATCCATTGATTCAAGGTTTTGATTCCGCCGCTGATAGGGGTACATATAAACATATAAATTTAATTAAAAAATAAATAATTATTTTATTAAAAGTAAGATTTAATTAATAGAGAGAGTAGTTGGGATCTCCATTAAATCTCTTGAGCCACCGAAAATATTTCATAAGAAAAAGAAGAAATGTCGGCATTAGGTTAACAAAAAGTTTTTAAAAATAGTTGTACGTATTTTAAAAATGAAACGACAAGCGTAATTTTACAATAATTGGAGAAAATCCTGTTTGATTTTGTGTGTGTGTGTGTGTGTGTAATTATTAAGGAAGCATTATGATTAATGTGAAAACTGTAGGATAAGATGGTTCGTGGGATGAATAGAAGCAGTGGTCATTATCAATTCGCTATCTGGAAGCTCAAAAGCCAATTGGTTGTTCAGATGACACATGGCAAGTACAGCGATGCATGGGCCTTTTTGTTGTCCCTGTCAAGCCCACCAAAAAAGCCCATCCAAATTACGATTTAAAGGGAAACACGCTCACCCTAATCCCGTGCACACCCTCCTCCATGTGAGGATGTGAGCTTACCCGCAATCTCACACACATGCAAAAGCTTCTCCATGCTTTCTTTCGGCTTTCAAGCACTTCTAGATTCTTTTTATTCGTCTCATTTTAAAAAATTATTTTTTTATCTATTTTATTGATTTGAATAAAACGAACACCAATCTAATATAAAATTCAGGCGGAATGAATTCCATGGGTATATAATTTTTTTTATCTATTTTCATATTTTTTCCGTCATCAACGCCAATATAAAATAAAAAATAAAGGGTAAACAGTACCATTTTATTATTTATTGATTAAAGTTATTTTTCAATGAATACTTTTTTCTTAATTTCGTGTGACTTTAAAAAGAATTTCAAATCCCTGTATAAAAGTACATAATTCAAATTAATTTATTTCCTGACTCACAAGGCCACATGTAATATAATATCATATGTCAAATACTTTATATATTTAATGTATTTAAAAAATATTATATTTATTTTTATCTAATTTTATATATTATAATACACCAAAATAAATTGAATTTTAATTTAAAATCAGTTGTGCGGAATTCAAAAATTTAAAAGTACAATTTTGTCTTTTAATTCTGGTATAAATAGTAATCTTTCGATCTTATTCATAACTCATTTATACAAACTCATCAATATCAATATAATAAAAATATAAAAAATAAAATTTAATAAAATTACAAAATAACTTTTAAAAAATAAATAAATTATATAATCTAATTTTTTTAAAAAAATAATTTAGATATTTTATTTAAAATAAAATATTATTATCAATTTAATAATTTATAAATCGGATCACCCCCCTTCTTTAGAGAGTGACTGATAAACTGGATCAAAGGAAGAATTTGACAGCGAAGGAGGGGCACGTTGGTCATTTTAGTACCAGCACCTCTGTCCTCCGTCCCCCTCGCGGCCTCGCCCGCCTCTGTTCTGCTCACATTGGATGGAGAGAGTTTTTGATAAATTTCTCCATCACGCGCCCCTTCATGTTGTGGGAATCACGCCCTTGCCGACGTGTTGCTTTTTTGGGACTGTCACGTCTTCCCTTGTCCATCCGTACATTTAACCGGTTTGCAAAATGGTCAAAATCATCCACCACATTGTTAATAAAAAATTCTTTTGCTAACAGCTATAAAAATGTTCAAATTAAAGTTTTATTGTCGACCTAGCAATTTTGTTTTGTTCGCAAATAATCAATAACTCTTTGAGTCCTAAAACTCACCAAATTTTAGTGAACTCATGAACCGAGTTATATGTTATTCCGCTGTAAGATGAATTTTTTATTCTTAAGATCAGCACACATTCAATCATTAAAACAAAAAAAAAAAGCATGTATTTGTGTGTGTGTGTGTTTTTTTTTTTTAAATAAGAAAAGGTTTTGATGAATTAGGTCCCAAAAACTTGACATGTCTTTAAGTATGAAGAGTATTTGGAGAGGTAATTATTATCAATTGAACTAATTTTTGTTAATTACTCATTTAATTTTATTTATAAATTATTTTTAACATGTTTTATCAAAATAAAAACATAAAAATTTATTAATTTTATCTAAAAATTTATTAAATTCTCAACACTGCTCTTATTAAATATACATATTTAATATAGCATACTAATATTTTATTTCTCCAACATTTCATGAAAAATAAAAAAAATTTGCAATAAAAATTTACTACAGTGACTTATAAATAAGATTAAAAAAATTTATTTTTATCTTCTAAATAATAGGGAGGGTGTAAATGTGTTTGTTACTTTAATCCAACACTTTTCCGCTGCCCGCCAATTGTTTGCTGTCAATGGGTGTTTTGCATTACTCAAATAAACTGTGTCTAACTGTTGTTTTTATCATTAATTGACTAATCTATTTGTTTCACAAAAGTCTTAAATTTTTTTATGCAGTTCCACATACCTCACACACATATTCCTTTCTCAGTTTTACTTAATATTTAAAAATGATTATTGAGGATATAATACAAAATATGAATATATCACTGATTAATACAGTAGTTTAAAAATAAATTACAATTAATAGAATCACAACTTTAATCACTTGCCGTGTCTTTTCAACACCCCCCTCTTTTTGCCAACATGTCTTTTTACGTACAACGCGGTTTAATTTGTCTTCTTTTTAATTTCACATGATAAGCATAGGTGACGCATTTGCCTATTTGGTAGCTTCCTGTACAGTTGCTATCATCGATGCCCGATTTCTTTGTAGCTTTAAGAATCTATTAAAGTGATTTTACTTAGAATGAAAAAAAAAATGATAAAGAAACACAATGCTAAGGCCTAAGCCCTACTATATACTCACTTCAATTTCAGGTGAAATCATTTAAGAGACACTAATCCTTGTTTTTTCTTTAATGACAAGAGACACAAATTCTTACTCGATAATTTCTCTCAATCAAAATTTATTTGAAATATAAGTAATTTAATATATATAATTTTTTTTTCAATTATTAACTTAAATTTTTATGTAAAGTTATTTTTCACTCATTATGAAGTAAATTTATAATTAAAATTAAGAGTAAAAAAATAATACATATCTTTATGAGAATATATACTTTATTAATAATGTTTATATTTTAGATTGGGGGAGTAGTTTTTTTTTTTTAACTCAACTGCAATGTCTAGGGACAATTCCGTAATTGCAGATCCCTCGTCATAGTAATAGCGTCTGCTCCACCTTATAAATGTTGAAGATACTCGGCAAAAATCGGTTGACCCTGGCACTTTGTGAATGGAGCCAACACCTCCCTGCACTCGCGACGATGACCTAACAGCCGCTGCATCCTCCGTCGCCGTTGACACAGTTGACAAGTCTGATAAGTCACGAGTCGGAGGCACGCGCCACCCAGTGTACCGGGGTGTCCGTAAGCGGCGGTGGGGCAAATGGGTGTCGGAAATCCGGGAGCCCCGTAAGAAATCACGCATATGGCTGGGGTCGTTTCCGGTGCCGGAGATGGCAGCAAAGGCTTATGACGTGGCGGCGTACTGCTTGAAAGGCAGGAAAGCACAGCTCAATTTCCCCGACGAGGTGGAGCTCTTGCCGCGGCCATCCACATGTGCCGCCAGAGATATCCAGGAGGCGGCAGCTAAGGCGGCTCATGCAATGAAATCCTCAGCGAAGAAGAATAGCATTATGTCCGACGGCGACGGCGACGGCGACAGCGGGGGCGATGATTTCTGGGGCGAGATTGAATTGCCAGAGCTGATGAACAGCGGGCGTTTCTGGAGTTCTCCGAGCGGGTCATCGTGGGCTCCTTCCGGCGACATCACGGTGTGGCCGGAGATGGAGCTGCTGTCGCAGCAGCAACAATTCATGGCGTGCTTATAATGTGTATTAATGGCGTCCAGTGGTTGGTATGCTCCGTATATATTTGCCAACTGTTTGTGTTCTCATCAATAATAAACAATAATTATTGGAGTATTAGTTATTATTTTATTGTTATATCATGGTTGCTACACAGCATAAATAGTCAAATATTCATCAGCTCAGACACTAATTTGTTGAATCAGTGATACAAACATGTGTTTGCTTCTTAATACTATTCAGTATTCATCGTATGAATTACTATTATACCACTAATTAATTAAGCTTACAATATTTTCGTAAAGAGTTTCAGTTTTGCATACTCTGCTCCAGCCCCTTGTGACTAATTAGCTTTGTATAAAATGTTATGATTCTTCTTTAATTTCTTCTCTCAGCGATGTGATCTTTCCAGAATGCTCAATCCTGATTTCTATCATGAAGTATTTGTTTGTGAAGTTTGAAAACTTTCTATCTTCCTTTCTTTAATTTCTATCTTTTTCTGGGACAAGTACCTTTATTTTGATTTTTTTTTAAGGAAGTACCTCAATTTTGATGACTCTCCCTTTATTTGAAATTTGAATTATGCATGTAAAGTGCAATTTATTCTCTATGAACTAACGACAAATCTATATTTTTTTAAAATAATTGCACATAAATTTCTTATCAATTTATGCCCAGAAAAATCAAGAGAGAGTATTTTTGACTATTTATAAATAAATAATAAAAAATGTTGAAATCAGTCCTTTTTGTTTTGCCAGTTTCATTATTTCAAAAGGAGTGTTAGCGTGTGTAGTGTGTACCTAATTTTGCCAAAATCATTTATGTGAAAAGCTACCCTTTGGTGGCTTCAATCACTATCTAATAACTTAAATAATAATATAAACTTGACTCTATTAATTTAGGCTACGGTAGGTCAAAACTCTAGCAGTGCGTAAGATATGATCATTGTTTAAAAGAAATTTAAAAAAAGAAGAAGAATCTAAAATCCTAGGTATAATTTGGGAATGAAATAGCTAAGCCAAGGAAGAGATAAAATAAAGTCAAATTGGGTACGTCATGAACTAATATGGGAATTTTCGTGAGGAAATGCGTTGATGTTACGTTTGAACAATTGAGAATCTATAATTACATACAGAACAGATCATAGTTACAACAAACTATGATTATTATGAAACTAATAAAAATCTATTTAAAAAGGGCAATACATTATTCTACTTTGGTAACATGACGTTGTCGCCATTAGGGCTTAATCCCCTTTCGTATCAGGCCCGTAACGTTCTCGCTTAACAACAACATGGACAAAAAACTAAGCTTCGATTTTAAAAAATAAAAAATAAAAAAAATCTGTTCGCCAGCGTTCTTCGATTAGTTGTTTCATTTTTTTTTTTCATGGATTCATTTGTAAGCTTTTACTTATTTTTGTTTCTTTTGACCTTGAACCCAGTTGATGTAAAATATATTTCAACTGTAAAAAAATATAAGACATTTTTAACTGAATTTTATTTTTAATAAAGTAGTTACTTGTCTTCAAATTAACATCATTTTTTCATATTTACCCTATGTAATAGGATGCTTTATTCTAAAATAAATATAAAGTGATTATTCAATAAGATTACTTTTAAAAAAAGTGTAATGTTTTATATTTTTTAACATTTAATTTTTAAAAAATGTCTTATATTTTTTAACAAGGGAGTATTTATTATTCATTGGAATTACAATTTAATTCCCCCTTGTTTTCTAAATTATATATTTCATTTTTCATTACAGAAGCTAAGTAGTGCCGATTTTTAATGAATTTTGTATTATACATTACATACATGTGTGTGTAGATATCATCCTGATCTTTTTGAGTTCAATAAGATGCAGCTAAGAAAAATTGGTTTCATGGCATATTGTCAAGGATCAGAATTACATAGGGCTATGATTATCTTCAATGGCACTACTCATCCTTATGACATTTTAGACATGTTTCTTTTCCTTCTCATTCCACAAAATATAAACGAAATCATACTATTTAATTTATTAATTACTATAAATTATAAATGACATGTCCTCTTTATATTTATATTGAGCATTGAGCATTTAACTCATATAGATACTAGGCACAGGCAGTATGAATTTTTATGTTATTTCTATAAATCAGTCATTAATTGCTCATCAACTCATTGTAGGTAATTAGTATAAAAAGAAAAAAAATATACTTACTCTTATATACTTAATGTGATTACTTTCAATTAAATTAAGACATATAAATCTTTTATAGATTGTTTATCATATAATAAATCTTGTTATTAATTTTATTAACATATTAAGATTTACTTATCATAATTTGATTGAATCTAAGTATATCAAGTTTATAAGACTAAATACGTAAGTCTTACCCTTATAAAAAATTGAATGCTACACTTCAAGAACAAGAATGATTTTGTTTAAAAAAAAAATCTATTTTTTATTTTTTATATAATTAACCATTCGTTATTTGAAGTTACATTGAAATATGGATTTAAGTTGGGTACATTCATATAGACTCAAATTTAAGACACTGTGTTTAAGTAATTCGATTGAATCAATACTTGGTGGTAAAAATAATGTATATTTTGAGAATGAAAAAGATTAAAGTGCATTTTTGTACTTTCTTTTAGAGAGCATTGAACATTATGTACTAATGAGTTTGACATTTCTTCTCCTAAATTATTTCACAGAGGAAAAAAAATCTCCCTCTATTAATAAATTACTAATAAAGAGAGATTTTTGCTCCTCTATAAAATGATTCGAGAGGAAAAATGTCCCACTTATTACTATGAGATGCTTAGCATTCCTTAATGAAAAATATAAAAGCAATAATACACTTTAACGTGAATAAAAATATTAATTTACTTGGAGCTATCAGTAAAGAAATAGGATATGCATAAGCTAGAACACCCCCTTGAGAGAAAATATGGCTGAAAAAAGGATTTGATGAAGGGAAATCCAGAATGATGGGTTGTTGGTCATTTTTGGCTTGTATTATTCAGAATCAGGTGACAATAAATTGACCTTCCACTTACTGTTTTTGAGTGCTTATTTGTCATTTCATTCAATAAGGGTGGGCTCATGGATGAATGCACCACTCTATCAAACACAACACATTGTGGTGCAGGTGGGTGAATAGATTCTTTTGACACTAAACCCTACCAGGTACGCGATTTCCTTGTGCCTGCATCTCATTCTCAACCCTATTCTTATCCCATCGAGCGTCCACTACTCAAACCAACACATGAACATCATAAATACCTTGAGATCACAATAATTAGTTTTTGACCAAACATGCCCTGATGAATACAGACACACACACACACACACACACACACACACACACACACACTATCATCATTCGTCAGTAGTGAATCATGCTGAGAGCTTCCTTGTTCCAGCAGCATTGCTGGCCAGAAGAAAAGAATTCGGGAGAGGCTAAAATTGGGGAGAAAGATCAGATCAAGTCATGGACATGAGAGAAGGAAAAGATCATCAGAGACTGAGCGGTGAAGGTACTTTTGGACCCATCCTAGTTAATGTCAAAAACTATCATGGGGACACATTGTCAGGTGTCACTGGAAAAAGAAGAAAGTGATCTACTTTTTTCTTTTGGGGAGGGAAAGTTATGAGGGTCAGGGTCAAACTTTCCTGTCAGCAAAATTTTCAACCAAATTAATTAAAAAGCGCAACAGTCATACTTCGTTCATCAAAAAGGGATAGCACTATAGCATAAACGTGAAGGACAAATAATATAAATTATTATTTTTTTAACATGTTTATATCACTAAAAGATGATACTAACCATCAAAGTCTGTTAAAATGACTCATTCTTTTAGACAAAATCATGAGAGAGACTGCGGGAAATGTGAAGTATGAAGTGCTCTTACGAGTCTATCTCTGGTTCACCGTGGGTCTTATTGCCTGATGCATCTCACCCTGCCTGTGCCCCACAGAGAAGGGAAAGACTACAATACAAAAAAAAAAAAAAAAAACTCCCTCCATTATAAAATATAAGGCATTTTTAATTGAATCTTACCACATAATAAAGTAATCTTTTATCTTTAAATTAATCTTATCTTTTTATATTTATCTTTATTTAATAAGTTGTTTTACCCTAAAATAAATATAAAATAATTTATTCAATAATTATCTTTTTAAAAAAAAGGCAATAATTATATTTTAAAAAATGAAAAATATCTTACATTTTTTAATATCTAATATCTCAAAAAATGTCTTGTATGTTTTAATAGGGAGAGTGTTATTGAAGTTCTGTGCAAATTAAAACATGGAAAACCACCGCACCACAAGAAAAAGGTAAGTAATATCATTATTTAGTAAGCCCTTTTTGCTCGAAATTATATCTTATATATTATGTATAAGTAGCATACGAAAAATGAATCAATTATGTTGATAAGAACACGTGGAACTAGCATCCTTAGTAATTAGGGTTCATGTACGGCAGAAAATCAGCAAGTTGGTTTCTCATATATCAAGTCTACCAGTTACAGAGACCTGGCCTCAACCATAATTTTTACCTTAGCTGGAAAATCAATTTTTCCTTACTCCTGGTACCTTGACAGGGTTCATTAGCTTATCATTATCTTTTTCTGGGAACTACCACGGCAGAAAGAGACAAGTTTTAAAGTTGAGTTGCTCTAAGATTCCTTGAGAATAACACGAGCGCAATTTAGATATGCAAAGACATAACAAGAGGTTGCAAAAATTCAATCCATCAACATCTAAGGCGGGGAAGCAAACAAATTGCTCAGCAGGACCGCGGTGTATTTTGTCCTTTAAGTTTATGGGGCATCAGATGATTGACAAGGCTTGATTTGTGAAGGTTCTAAAATGTTCCTGTCAATCTTTTATGTTCCGTGACCTCATTTTAACCCCTTCCTTCTCATGTAGCTTTCAATGTCGAAAGTGGGTCTAACGGGCATCTGCTGGAAAATATATTTGAAACACAGGTTTTGGGTATCTCCTATCTGTAAACGGGGTTCTTTGACCCAAAAAAAAAAAATAATAATAACTGTCTGATCAAAACGTCACAATAGTTGTTCTTTAACAGATTTAGGGGTAAGCCAAATCAGAGTCAAATGTTGCACTCCCTCCAGTTCTTAATACAAGCCACTTCTAAGTCAATATCCAAAATCAATGTGAGTTTGTTGGAGTAATAAAGTTGTCACAAAGTAGAAGTTTTTTTCCAGTTTTGCCCTTGACGACTTCTACCAATTTAAGA